TTTAAAAAAAAAAGTGCCTGATGTCACTCAACGTGTTCGGTTTGTTTTGGAAGTGTGCAACACAACGCTGATGGTGGTGCTTTTTTCAAACCAGCTGCTTGCTGTAGTATTACATGTGCTGGTGGTTGAGGGGGAAAAAAAAAGTGGGTTTTTTTTTTTCCCCACTACAGGTGACAAGCAAACCTCCCCACCTGGAGGCCATTTCAAAGTGTTAAAAGGGGTGGGGGAAATAAAAAAAAAAAAAACTCTAGGCCACACTGCTGTAAATCCATTAAGTTGTCCAGGTTGGACAGGAAGCACATGCTGTCACAAAGAAACAATCCTGAAGTAATAGCAACCCCTCTCTCTCTCTCTCTCTCTCTCTCTCTCTCTCTCTCTCTCTCTCCAGCATTCTCTTAATTCTCCTCCTCTCCTCTACGATGGCCACAGACGTGCTCACTAATAAATCATGTCCCTTGTCTTTCTTGGCCGGATGGGGTCATTGGTTAGCGTTAGCGGGCCGTTAAAGGCCATACCGCAGGCCCTGGACGTGCCTGTGTGGTACAACAACAGAGGAAAGCACCTCCAAGCCCTCCAGCTCTCTCCTCTCGCTCTCTCTTCCTCTCTCTCTCCATCTCTTTCTCTCTGTGTTCTTTATGAAGCCGTGCCAGCATAAGCCCTGTGAGATGGTTATTACTCCGTCCGGAGCCGTCGCTAGCCAAAGGGCTGCGACTTGTCGACATGCGGAAAATCGTTCCCCCAGCCGGGTACTAGGCTTCGGTGGTCTGTGTGTGCGCGCATGTGTGTGGCTTGTTTTTTGTTCCGTGTCAAACGCCAGGCTGTTGCGTTACATCCTGAGATAATGTGACTCGGCGGCCGTGCTGACTCGACTGTGCGCTTTGATGGCGAGGTGGGTGGACGACTCCCGTGAAATCCATGTTTTCAGAGAGGCAGACTTCGAGTTATTTAAGGCGTTTTCGTCTGTCAAGTGGTTTCTATAATGCGTCGTCTATATGACCTCGCCGCTTCCTGTCTTTCAGCCGCAAAACGTTTAACAAACCGTGCTCCGAGCCTAAAATAATCTCAAGGCCCCGACTTACACAAACATGGAAAACTGCTCCACTGTAAGCAAAAGAAACGAGAACAGATGTGAGGCGGCTGAGGGGCTCGACCCGCGCCAGTCATTGGAGTGCGTGTACTGTACGATGAGTCGGTGACGCTACAGAGATCTTAGCTGCGCAATAAAAGTTAGCGCTTGCACTCTGGTGACCGGATCGTCACACATTCAGGCAACACATACGCAAATAATCTAAACTATAATATCCTATAATAACTATAGTTTCTGAGGTTCTGAAAGTTTTTCTGAGAAGACGTTTATTTAACATTTATGGAAGGAGTCTCCAGTGTCAGTGCTTTGTAACATCAGAGGTAAAACTGTAATTACGTTTTCTGTGTTAGGAAAGTCTTCAGAACTTTCTCAGCGACATGACAGGCTAAGCTTTGCTTTTTTTTTTTTTTATAATATTATCTTCAAGAGAGAGAGAAAAAAAAAGAGAGGCTGGTGAGGGAACAACTGTTTACAGTTGCTATAACGCAAGTGATAACTGGAGCTAACCTCTTTCACAGATGTTCCACGACATTAAATGTAACTATAAGCGGATAAAAAGTACAAGTTCTTCTTCAATAAATAAAGAAAAATGCTGTGGTATAAGAGGAATAAACACCTCAGGACATGCTGTTATTGGAAAAATAAGAAGTAGGCGTACTTAAAATTCTACTTTCACTATGAGGACGTCATGTACGCTCCAATGTAGGGGTGTCTCTTTCTGATACAGTTTAAAAAAAAACAAAAAAAAAAAAAACACATACGCACACACATTTTAGTGTTTACTATTAATAATATTTAGCATGTGTAATTGGTAAGCCCCTCCTCAATCTTAAATCTGAACTTTATTTAGGGGTTAAAGTTTTGATTTAGGTGTTCGGTCCACTCCCCTCCACTCCCCTCCACTCCCCTCCGCCGCCAAACCCCTCAAATCCTTCATTAGTCCTCCTGAAGCAAGGCTGAAGTCATTTTGTTTAGCCACTGTATGAAGTCAGTATTAATGCATTCTGATGAGCCGTTTTTCCTGCCCCGCCGTTCGGCTCGCCTCTCTCTTTAATTACAAGTCAGAGTGGAGCTTTTAAGACTATACCTGTGATGAAAGCCAGGCGGTCCAGCGCGCCAGATTAATCTAAACGTTCTGGTTGGCTGTGTGCGGCTCGAGCTCTCTTGTGTTCAGGAGAGCGTCTGCCGCCCCTTTTCGCATTTGCCCTTTAATTCTTTTCTAAGTGAAAGCCTGTGTATCATTATTCGCTTGAGCTGAACTGGGAGAGAGACATACTGAGAGACAGAGAGAGAGAGAGAGAGAGAGAGAGAGAGAGATCAGTTTGGTGAAGGGAATGGAGGGATAAAAGGAGGAGGTAGCAGTGGTGGTGGAGGAGGAGGAGGAGGAGGAGGAGGGGGTTTCTTGGCAGGTATTCCCAACAAATCGGATGCCAAGAGCGAAATGGAAACCTCCCCTCATTTTCCTCTCCTCTTAATCCAATGTTTTCGAGCCCTATCCCAGCCAAGGTCATTATAATCATAGAGGAGTGGAAGAGCGCCAGTGACCCACCATTACAGTAAGGTACCGAGCTTCTCACTCACTCACTCACTCACACACACACACACACACACACACACACACACACACACACTCGTTCCACTCTGCCGTCAGTTCGGTAATAATACAGCATCCCTGTAACGCTCTGCCGGTTCCTCCATTTGCAAAATGTAGATGCCCTCGAAGCTCGTAAAGGCGCAGGAGAAGGGTAGAGCTCTCCCCATAGGGAGACATTTTAGCTGATGGCAAAGGTCAGGGTGTAAGAATGATACGGGCTGCGGTTTTCCACAAAATGGAGGCCTTCAACTGAGACAAAGAACAGTAGAGAGAAAGAGAGGGAGAGAGAGAGAGAGAGAAAAAAAAAAGTAGTAACCTCATTCAACCTCTGTGGCTTGGTGCAGAGCTTTCAGAAATATCTTAATAAACGCTAAACATTTAAGACTCTTCGTTCACTTCTGAAGCTCCGTGAACTTTGACCTCGCTGCCTGATCAAAGGGAATGAATTATCCAACATTAATACGCTCCGAGGTTATGAAAGCCAACGAGTTTCGGTCCCTGCAGGATACGATGTGGCCCTTGAACTAAAGGTTTTATATTTAACCGTGAAAAGAGAGGGCGCGTGACCTCACCTTGGCCTCGGTGCCCTCTCGCACACTTTCCACGTGACACAGAGTCTAACATGTGTGTGCTCTCATTTACTAAGATAAAAACACCAAGGAGCGAGGGAAAGCTTTAAGAAACCATCTTTGGAAGTGGAGGAGATTGGAGAAGATTTCGAATAATGTTTGACAGAGAAATATTTTGATATGGAAGATTTTCATTATGTGGCTAGCTAACTAGTTAAAAATGAGAGCGAGAGTGTGTGTGTGTGTGTGTGTGTGAGTGTGTGTGAGAGAGAGAGAGAGAGAGAGAGAGAGCGTTCAGTGTGATGCTCGCTCTACCATTTAACTATGATCTTTGCACTGTAAAGCTTCTAGGAGAAATTTTGGAGCTAGCAACGGGATGAACAATACGGCCAAAAACATGGTATCACGATACTTATGGTATTTTTACGATATACAGTATGTATCATGGGATTGTAGGTTTGTGTCCTGCAAGAATAATTTATTTAACATCAATTAGAGGTTGGGTGATACGACAAAAATATCATATCGCGATACTTTCCGAGATACATATCACGTAACTTAAAAATGTATCACGATATTTAGGTTTTGAAACAAACTGGTTAGGGTTAGGGTTATTCTTTTATTTAATGTCTACAAAATGAAATTATTAACAAAAAAGGGAAAATAAATATCCTGTAAAATATTTTTTTTGGAATTTATTCGATTAACATTTGTTTAGCAATTTTTTAAATTTTGTATAAAATCAGCTGCAGCCATTCAGAGATTGTCACTGCTATTAAAGGATATTTTTTGATTTTAAAACTATAGCACGCTACCCACAATACATCAGAAAAATGCGTTGTGATAAATTATAATTTATCACAATACTGATGTTATATCGTAGGGCCGACCTTAATGTCAAATATGATTTAGAAAAAAAGACAACTAAACAATAAATAAATGGTAAAGCTGCTCATGATCCTCCCAACGCTGTCTGAACAAGTATATTGTGATATACGGTACCGTGATATTAACACCTCGTCATATTACTTGCGTTAGTTTTTCAAATATTGCGAACAGAAAACATCCGCTCTACTTTACTGGTTAATGACTCGTAGCCTGGTCTTATCCTTTCCTCCTTGAGAAAAGCTCTGAGTAAATAAAAGTCCGAGTTTGCGACTGTGAGTTTATACATAAAGTCATTTGTGCTGTAAGACACTTGAGAGGAAGCCGGGATTGTTTGCTAAAAAGTTGGGACTGTTGACCGAAGTGAAGAAGTATCGCGTGTGCTCCTCTCCTCCTGCCTCGCAGCTCTCTACTCCGAGGAGTTCCCTAACGCCCCTCGCCGAAGCCACGGCCCCCAGAGCATTCTGGGAAGTCCAAACCAGTGAAAGGAGCAGTGGTGTTACCGTGAACAAACCGCCTTCCTAGGCAGGCTTCGAGCAAACAATGCCAGATGAGGTCTAAATCTCTAAGCTGATTCCTGTGCTGAAATTTCCTGAATGGACGTCAAGCAAGAGTGCAGCAGGTCAGAGCTTTACATCCGAGATGTTCTCCAGGCAGGACAGTTCCTGATGTTTTAATGAGTAACTCCAACAGCCAGCATCAAATCGCTGGCCGCTGTCAAACACAGCAAGATGTTCTCTCATGCACTCAGAAATAAACATACCGTACTGTTCTATGACTCATCGCTGACACTGTACGATCAAGCCAGGAGACGCGCTGACCATGAATTACAAATTAAGGCATTCGATGCACACTTCTATACAGGTCCCTGGTGGTCTAGCGGCTAAGGATCCTGCGCTCTCGCTGCCGTGGCCTAGGTTCAATTCCCAGGCAGGGAATCAACCCCTAACGGGAGCAGCCGAAAGAACAACAGTGCACACTTCTATACAAATGAAAAAAACGAATAAATATAGACTATGACAACGATTTTACGGGTAATGACTTACTGTAACGCAACCTCTGCATCAAGGATTCCTTTTATTTAGGATCTCTAGTGTGCATCTTTTACCTGGGAAGGTGCATGTGGTGTAACTTTAATTAACTTTTAAGAGTAAACGTTAAGGCCCAATTATGTACCTTTAATTATTTTTAAACGTACACTACAAGATACAAACTAAAGGTACACATGGTACCAAAACAGCGACAAGGAAAAGTGCAGCATATGACTTTTAATTCTGAGATTGTAGAGGCAGAAGAAGTGCTACCAAAACTGTAACTTATTTATTAATCTTCTAGTGAAGTGTTGCATAAGTGTTTTCATAGTCAAACTAAGTGAAAAAAATTCTCATCAGATTTACAGAAGTTAGTCTGATCTTCCTCTTCGTAGTCAGCTGCGTATGCTGATGGATACCAGTCACACAAAAATTACTAAGCGTGTTCATGGCACCGCTGATTTACATCCAATGATGCCCTCAAAACTCCATAAATGGTGAAGCACACAATAAAATAACGACTAGAGTGTGACACACAGGGTGTGCTAAACCTTCCAGTAACGCAGCTCAGCCACTGCAGCACATCACCTACCAAAGACACACACTAACGCTTCCTTCTGTTATAGGGTGTCATTAATTTTTTCGTCCTAATTGAATGTCTAGTCTCATTTGTCTCAATTTATGATCAAATCGTTAATATGAAACAACTGAGCTTCACAACATTTTCATTAAATTGGTGAAATAAATGAGTAACGGCGTAACCCGTGTATGAAATCAAAGCAACTCATCGTCAATTATATGATTTGAACCCGATCAAACGAGGGTCAAGTTAGTGAGTCTGCTTATATACGTAAATTTACCTGAACCCAGGAGCGAAACGTAGGATGCGACTGTTTTTTCCCCCAACAAACTG